GCCCCGGCCGCAACCGGGCCCCCCCTCCCCCAGCCAGTAAAAGCTATTTTACAGCCATCCTGGGCTTGTACTTGAAGGAACTCACCAGGAGAGCCACGGTAAAAGAATGAGAGGCTTATCGAGCACACAGACCTCCCGAAGGAAGGAGCGTTGGAAGCTGAAACTTCAAAGCAGCCAGGGGATTTAGCCACATTCTGCACTACTCCTTCCCGGGCCGCACTGAAGATCATAGAATCATAGACTGGTTTGGGTTGGAAGGGACCTTAAAGCTCATCTGGTTCCAACCCCCTGCCATGGGCAGGGACCCCTTCCACCAGTCCAGGGTGCTCAGAGCTCCATCCAACCTGGCCTTGAGCCCTGCCAGGGAGGGGGCAGCCACAGCTTCTCTGAGCAGCTGGGCCAGGGCCTCACCACCCTCATGGGGAAGAATTTCTTCCTAATATCTCATCTAAATCTGCCCTCTTTTAGTTTAGAGCCGTTCCCCCTTGTCCTGTCACTACACACCCTTGTGAAAGATGCTACCTGCAAGCTCCAGCCCTCAGCCTCGGGAAGAAGAGTTACAAGAATTACCGCTTCTTTGACATCTCGTGCCAGAAACCAACACATGGAAAGAAAGACAGAAAACTTAAAATTCATGTACTGACACAAAACCCCAAACTCAGACGTGAACAGCGGCGTAGCTACACAAGACGCCGGCCCCGGCAGCAAAGCCGGCTTCAGAATTTTGCGTCACTTCACTCCTCCTCTCTCCCTCGGCTGCAAAATCGCCACCGCTGCGCTGATACCTCTTGTTCAAGAGACCGCACCGTAAACCAGACCAGCAGTCCGGTTACACAGGTGGAACTCCAGCAATAAAATAATTTTAAAAAGCAGAAGTTCTTCCGAGCTGGGCTGCTGCAGAGCCCTGTTCTACACCACGGCCCTGCAGACAGCTTGCTGGCACTCGGAGATGAGGGGACAGTTAATCTGAGCAAAGCACCACGGTCTCTTAAGCTGTTCTCGTTCCCAAATCCAGCGCGTCGTGCAACCACAAAGGCTGGTGTCCTGTCCATTCCCCCCATTTTTGAAGTAGCACTTCAAGGTAGAAACTGGCGGCATCCACGCTGCGGTTAACACACGCTCGAGGCACATCCCAAATCACCAAGGAGGGACAGGTATCTTATTTCCATGCGTCCAAACAGCCACATTTCCCAAAGTTAAAACACCCTAAGACACCGACTTCATTTCAACAGCGACTTTTATCATTTTATGAAGCTCTCGTGTAGCTCAGCGGGAACAGCTGCGCAGCTGGCTGTAAATCCAGCACCTCTGGACAAGATTTCAGAGCCCATTTAAGAGCTCTGGCACGCAGAGCTGTCTACATATTTACTCACGGCAAGAAGTTCCCTATTTTGTAAACCACCACGTTAATCACACAATCACAGAATGGCAGGGGTTGGCAGGGCCCTCTGTGGGTCACCCAGCCCAACCCCCTGCCCAAGCAGGGTCACCCACAGC